AAACACTGGGGTGGGAAAGTGAGGGATTGAAGAGGATGAAATCCTGAAGACCAGATCAGGTCAAGAGTTAGGGTTCCTCAGATTGCCAGGATTCAAGGGAGTGATGCAGAAGTGGGATGGCTGACGCTGGGGTGAGAGTAGAGATTCCGACTCAGGGAGGTTGGTCTGCAGCTCAGAAGGACCCCTTACCTGGAGCAACTGCAGACTGGCTATTATATGATGCAAGCTGCTTTTCCAAGCCTTCAGCCCCAGAGGATGGTAGCGTGCACTCCCTGCCCCTCCCCTGTTTAGATTCAGAAGTCATGGGTTGGGTCACAGTGCCCCCTGCTGGCTTAACTACCCAAATTCCTGATCTTGTTTAGGTTTAAAAGAATGGTGGGGAGAGATTATTATTGTTATTGTTGTTGTTGTTATTATCCTTTTTACAGATGAGAAAACTGGCTCATAGAGGTTGTGACTTGTCTAGGTCGAAACAACCAGTATAGCTCAATACCTATGCCAAGAGGAATGTTGCAACTAGCTGGGAGATCTGTCAGAGGCAGGAACAGAAGGCTTAGCCTGTTTTCCCAAGCTTGAAAGTAGGAATAGAGGAATGGGAAGAAGCAACAAGTGAGGTCTATTATCAGGCTACAATAGACAAAAGGAAAGTGGAAACATACTCATTTTTTCGTTAGTTGCTTTTTTGGTGAGGCAGTCGGGGTTAAGTGACTTGCCCAGGGTCACACAGCTTAAGCAAGTGTAAAGTGCCTGAGGTCGGATTTGAACTCAGGTCCTCCTGACTCCAAGGCTGGAGCTCTATTCACTGCGCCACCTAGATGCCCGAAACATACTCATTTTAGCAAATAGTTGCTAAGAATATTTCTAATAACTACTTTTGTATTCCGAATGATCATTTTCTATACCAATTAAATGCTTTTGCTGATACCATGCTGTTGTTTGCCTCGGTTCCTGTTAGCACAATATTAATTAAATATCTAGACCATGTTGATTTTAGAGATCCATGCTTCCATACTGGAATGAAGCTCAAGCCACACAGAGTTCACTTACCAGAAAATCTTCAAATAATCAAATACTTTGGTGATTTCATCAATTCAAGCGTTCCTTCTAATTGTGAGAATTACAGTTAATCCATACCTGTTTGTTCTGCGCCACTCTTGTCCATGTCCTCCCCTGAGTTTACCCCAAGGGTCTACTCAACATGCTGGGAGCCTTCCTTGCTTTCTCTTGACATGGAAGAGATACCAGAGGAACACACAAGCAATCTATGTCTTATTCTTTCCAAATGACCATCTCATCTTTTCTATCACAAATTTCTTTAACAGCATCATTTTCTCCAGTTCTCCTTCAGAGTTTGTTTTATAATATTTTGCAGCCTGCTTGTACCCAATGTGTGCCTCTCTATTGCCCTCAGAATGATATGAACTTTTAATTCTTAGAAACTATAGTGTTCCGCAACTCACAACCACATAACCTCCATACAATATTCATATTAAAAGATGGATCTTTGTTTCTGGGAATTTAGAGTCACTGAGCAAACTTTGCAATTTCCCAAAGGCAATACAACCTGCTCTTGTCTTGCTGCTTAATTCTGGATCTTGCGGGGAGGGGGGAGAGATAAGAGGGAGGGAGAGAAAATTTAAAACTCAAAATCTTTTGGAAGTGAATGTTGAAAACTAAAAATAAATTAATTAATTATAAAATATTTTAAAAAGAAACTTAAAAAAAGAAAAATCTCACATCATGAAACAGAGAGAAATAGCAAAGTTCAAATGAGTTTAAAGAAAGTTAGAGGAGAAGCCCAACGAAGCAAAGTCATTCCAAAGCATTTAAAGGTAAAACTGGAAAGAAGATAGCAGTTAAAAGAAATATGGAAAAGATTTGGAAAGATTTTTATGAAAAATTTTAGGAAAAAATAAACTTTTCACCATGAAAAACAGAGCCACCAAACTTAGACTCTAACATAGCAGTCCTAAATATGTTTATAGAAGAGACACAAATGGCACTATAAAAAAAAAAAAGATGGTTAAAGCAATGGGACAATCAGAAAATGTAATGAGAAAGGTAGGTGATAGAGTGGATAGAGTTTTGAACTTGGAGTCAGGAAGACCTGAATTCAGATTTAGCCTCAAACACTTAGAAGCTGTGTAATCCTGGGCAAATCACCTAACCTCTATTTGCTTTAATTTCCTCATCTGTAAAATAGGGGTGATAATAGCACCTACCTCTCAGAGTTCTTGTGAGGATCAAAAGAGATAAAATATGTAAAGAGTTTTTCAAATCTTAAAATGTTATATAAATGATAGTTTTAGTATTAAAATGCCCTCACAGACACACATAAACATGAACCTAAATCTTTTCAGGTTTAATGTTGGCTAGTCCACTGGCAGCATCTGAATAGAACATGAAAAGAAAGGCAGATAACAGAGAATGAATACAAAAGAATGCTATAGTCTGTAAGAATAGTATCAGGAACACAAGTTCAGAATGAGATGAGAATCTAGCTGCTAATAAATGCCAAAAACAACATAAGGGTTGTCATAGCTATATTGGGAAGAAAAGTAAGACCAAAGAAAGAATAGCTAGTGGTAGTAGTAGTAGTAGTAGTAGTAGTAGTAGTAGTAGTAGTAGTAGT